GCGAAAAAAACCAGCTTTTTAAATCTTACATAGTTACACAAAAGAATATCTTATATTTCTTGAATGCATGAATAATTACATTTATAAGTACACACGAACATATATATATATATATGTGCAGTGTGTAGGTATTCAGTTTTCTTAAGCGTCGATTTTATCAGAACTTTATATGTCACGTCCGTCGTATAAACCACACAGAACTGGAAACCAACGACAAGAGAGTCTCTTATACGTCAGTCAACTTCCTTCCTTGATCCTTTTTGTTAAAATAAGACAAACATGGACAGCTTTCGTTCACGCTGTATTATGATTTTAATATCTGTTGTTGTTTGCCTTGTTCTCATTTGTGAATGTAACATTACTTTCATAGATTGACAAAGAATTTACACGATTTTACTATTATTAGTGCTGTATGTTACTTAGCGGTATTTAAATAAAGGTCATATCTTAACACCGCATTTGGTTTCGCACACTCTAGGGGGAAAATAAGTATAGGTAAACTCAGGCACCTGCGATTGGTTTTATCAACATTTATATAAACGAATTTTCACAATCACGCAGGAAAATCAATGAACATGTATCAAAAATAAGTAAGGATCTAGAGGATATTTAATGGCCTGCCGTTTACGTTCTTATATTTTTTTCTTTTTTTAAGTGTCAATAGGTTCTGTGATGTTGAATAGTCTGACTTATCACACGCCAACCAAATAACATTTATCATGCAAGACTGGTACACCATGTTACTCCCTAAATGAACACTTCTATTCTAATAGTGTCATATTCTCCCGGCTTTGTTCCTGCGTTGCCATTGAAAACTAAACAATATAATTTACTAGAATGTAACAAATATGCAGTAATTAGAAGTAATCATATCCTTAGTTTGCCGCATCACTTATCTACTCCTTGGTGATGATTCCTTGACCCATCAAGGAAATACTACAGTTTTTCAAGCCGTTCAAAATTACATACTCAAAACCAGGATATTTCAAACCAACGATTACCTTTTCTTTATGCTTGTCTGTTATGTATTCGTTATACTAGCATGTGTGATTTTTGTTATTATTATTATTGAATTTATATGCTTTTTCTGATATTTTACCAATTTTATACCATAATTTATCACTAAATGACAGTTATCTTGATGAATAGATTAGCGATTGGTTATCTTAAAAGTGCAAGACATGGCAATGCTGAGGCTAGTAAGTTTTTTATGGACTCCCTATTTGAAATCATGATAACCAGGTACGTGAATTAAAACGTTTGTCCTATCATATATTTATGATCATGGCGGTGCATGGCGAAATGTTTAATTCGTCAATATTTATTCAAATGTTATAAAAAATGCGTAATTTTTAATTATATTTTTGTTATATACTTCGAAGGCTCATCAGCTTTGCAAATGATATAATCGACAATCATAGTTACTGTTAACGTTTAAATTCTGGTGGTAGTCTTATTTTAGTGATTTTCGTGCTGAAAACTTTCCGCTATATTTTGATTGCGCTAAATATATTTTATGTACATTGCTCTCTTCAACAAGTGAATGCGACAATTGATCATTGCTCCTAATTGTTTATATTTGGTTATTCATTAAACTGGATTGCACCAAAATAAGTAAGCTTATGATATATTATACAGATTTGTGTTCCACACACCCTTTGCAAAATAGTGTTTTGATATATTTTTTTCATTCCTGGTCTACACTAAATACCCATCCCTTGCCGTTTATATTTCTTCTGCTGTTCAAATTACTACATTCCTGTAGCTAGTGTTGTAACTGTTGAAATGTATCATCTGACATATTTCAAAAGTATGATGATATTTGTTGTTTTTTTCTTTCTATATTGTATTATATATAATTCACCTCAAGTTGAATTTTCAATTCATGAAATGGGTAAATCAGACACAGACATTTGCAGCTTTCGTTCATCCTTCTCGAAATTGCAGTTAAAATTTAAAAAAAAAAAAACATTTATATACTGACAGCCATCGAGACGTTATATTAACGTTACAAGTCTAAAGACTCTTTTAGAAACTGTTGAGATTTATAAAATTCTAGGTTATCTGAAAGATGTTGGTCTATATTACAGAATATGACTGATCATTTTTATCTTTTGTGATAATATAACCATTTGAGATTTTTAGCATTTGTCTTTTACCTTTTAGTGTGTTGATGCCATTTACTTTCGGATCATCGGTGCTTCCTTCACCGGTTGATGACCCTTATGACCTTTTATGTATTGATGGGCCGTTAAGATTGTAATAATGATAATAATAAGTTACAGAATTTAAAAAAATAGACATTTAAGGAAAATCGATTTGAAACAATAACACGTCTTAAAATGCAGATCGTTCCATGTTACCGGGCTATAAATAGCAACTATTTGTCATCGTGATATATTCATATAAAGTAATGTATATTGGAAGTTGCAGCTGATTTTATTCAATTTATTTCATTTTTGACATTTGTACAGTATGTATCAACTGGTACTAAATATATATACGTATGTGTATGATGTTGTTTCGACATTCTTGTAATGCACTCAACATTGACGATAAATTACTTTAGATTTTCTTACCTGTTACCTGTACTGCCTGCGAGTCATTGGCATGTGCAAAATAAAAAAAAAAAAAAAACAGAAATGCATAAAGGGCTTACATTTAAGCAATGCAGGTCGTTCCTATTTATTTATTTATTATCATTATTTTTTCATTGCGATATCATACTATATTAGTGAAGTTAAACAAAATACTTCCAGATAGGTAAGTAATGGAAAAATCTATAAGAATAAGGACGACACATGACAACCTGTTTCAGTTAGCCATATAATCCTGTTCTAAAAATACCTCTTAGTAGTGACAGTTGCGCTTGTTGCCAAATTGCTGGAAAGAGAAACATTTTTACATTTTTACATTTTGCTTCAGCTGTATTGTAAATATTAAATTCAGGAACAGATAAAAAGAACAATGTATCTCTTTTTTAATAAGGAAGATACCTTTAATTAAAATAATGCATTGTAGATACAGTATAATTGTACAGTATACACGACAAAGACTCGAATTGTTAATGCAGTGTAATATACAAGTATTCATAGCCTTACCAGAGAGGTTAAACCCTTAACTCTAATTAGGAATAATAGATAAACGAACCAGAAACTATCCTTCATGTCAGATAGAAATGCGAAAAAAAAAATCAACAAATCTGTTAGAGTTGTTCCTAAACAGTCACAGTGCACCCCTGTAAATTGCATACGAACTGCCAATAGTTGACCTCAAGGTCAGGTCAAAGTATGACGTCAGGCAAAACTATGGCGACATCCCTGACAACACTAACTAATCGATTTTATTTTTATTTTTTTTTCCACAGGCACCCGTTATTTACAATGTAAATCGTCAAAGTAATATCCTGTCCACTGTTAACCATACAAGAGAATGTGACAGTCACACAAAAGAGATAATTTAACCATATAAGTCCTACTGTTATAGCACATACGTATATAAACATGCTATAATATAGGCGTTCCTGCTGTGCATAATTAAACATGTATGTGTATATCTATTTCTTTGTGCCTTTATAACCGATTTTCATGTAACCTAATAGAATATTATTAAATATTTGAAATTTAAAAAAAGTTAAAGCTTATAATTATCGAGAATTCTACAATTGTTTGACCTTAATAAAAATTATTGAAAAAATAAACATGTACAAGCACATGAAATAAATGGGGGAAAATGTTCTTCTCTTTGTAAACAGAGAAACACAAGAACATCATAATAATTTAGATTTAATTCCTGTAATTGATGTTGATTTCAGTCTATGATGAAATTGTCAAAATTATCAATATATATAATTTTGTCACATCAACTTTTCATTTCATAATCTGAATATTTTTATGATTGATTTTTATTTAATAGTTGTTCGTTGATAATATCACACAATTATCCAGAAAACAGTTTGGAAACATCTGCTGATTCTGTTTATTACGATATTCTGGCATGTTTAAAACACTTTAGGGGAAACGATAAACATCTTGTGTACATAGAATTCAAGAGTTATCTTTCTTTACCCATGCAGCAAAAACCGAAACCGAAAATGACAGATTAATACTGCTTCTAAGTAAACCCATGATGCATTTCTTTGCGCTAACGTGTAGGTGATTTGTTCGAAGCACATCTAACAGGTAAGACGACGATATAGGTAATATCACTCTCTCTCTCTCTCTCTCTCTCTCTCTCTCTCTCTCTCTCTCTCTCTCTCTCTCTCTCTCTCTCTCTCTCTCTCTCTCTCTCTCTCTCTCTCTCTCTCTCAGAGGGCGCAGCGTAGGAGAGTACGTACGTATTGTATTGTAGATAGGCCTTGTCATGTCATAAATTACTAAGCTATAATCATTCTGCACGATTCAAGTACGAGTCGAGTGTAGTTTTCTATACTTCTTCCTGTAATATTCGTATCTCATGTGAACGTTCCACTGGTAAATAAAGTAAATAGTCATTTGAACTTATCCTGATATGCACAAACCTTCGGACAGTTAAAGGGATTAAACTCAGCGCAGTGACAAAGGTATGATATTTGTATAGACTACGTTATCACTGTTTCTTATGTCGGTCAAATGATACTACCGGTGCGTCCACGTGTTCAATATTATCTATGACGAAATATATTATACCTGTACGAGCTATTCCTGAGTTTTTCTAAGGACTTAAAATTCCAAATAAACATGACTTACGTGTGCTTACATATAATGATATAGGTGAAGATTTCACCGTCATCTACGTTTGTGCACGCGCAGATATTCGGCATACAACAAATCACGCTATAATCTGTTTTGTTTGTCATTAGATACTCGGACCACTCATTAAGAAACCACCATGATACAACAGTTAACTGTATGTCGGAACAATGTGTACTGCCGTGATATTTCGGGTTATGAAAAGCTCAACGATGTTATGACAGTGAAATGTTGTCTAATCTTTCAGGATTCAGAAAGAAGTGAGTGAGGATGGGTTCAAACTTGAGCGTGCCCGACGTGCGGGAAGTTAACAGAGAAGTCGATAGAATATGGCGTCAAGGCGAAGTACGAGGTGTTACATCAAACTACGAGAAAGTAGGAAGTCATTTCAATGACTGGCGAATGCCTGTCTCAAAATATGCAAGAAATGAATTTTATCTCGCTGAAAGATTAAAAGAGAACGATTACATTGGAGAATACGAAGTATCAACCCAGCTTTGGCAAAAATCATGCGGGGTTGTGGACGAGATCACGCAATTATTTCAGAAGACGCTCAATATAGTAACTTCTAGGAAATACCCTTGCCTTATCTTTGAAGACTTTGTGAAACAAGGTAATTCACGAGAGGGCTTGAAAATTCGTTATCCTGACGAATTTGATATGATTCTTCCATTCAGCATTGACGGAGTTAGTGTGGAGGCTGTTCCAGCTCTTGATAACGGCGGGGAACCGATCCCAGCACTTGTGAAACTCCGTGTGTCAAATGATTCACACAGAGCAAAGGTCATGTATGAGGATCATTACCACACGCTCAGAAGGGAAGAAATCTTTGAAACACGTGGCTCCGATGTGTTCCTAAACGCGAGGTACTTACAGACACGAGTAGTATTATCAATCATGGATACTGCGATTGCAGAGATAAAGAAAGCAATCGCCGAAGAGATGCCACATGAAAGTTGTTCTTTCACTCTCTGTAAAGCTAGTGTGTTTCCACCAACGTACAGATTCAAAATAATCATGAATAGCGATGCTGATTTTGATGAACTCTCTCACATTCGAAATACATTTCGTCGCTTGCAAGATGACCGCGTTCAAAGCAGGGATTATCTTTGTGCACAAAGCTCAAGTCAAGAATGGAACCAAGAAAGAAAAATAATCGAATTTGACATCGTTCCAGGGTTTCTCCTTCAAACAGATTTAGTTCCTAATCCGGACTCTTGGATTCCAATGACATGTGACAGATACGCTGTTATGAAATGGATCCATAAAGAACGTTATGCAGATGATTATCCTAGCCCTGACTTGCTCTGGAGGGAAAGCACATGCGGATACGAGAAACATATCATCGATATTAGCTGTAGAAACGAAAGGTACCTCTACATCCTCACAGCTTGTAGGGTTTTAAAGGCTTACATAGACGGCTCTAGCGGCTGTTCACAGCTTTCAAGTCTCCTGTCGTCTTACCACTTGAAGAACATTGCGATCCACTGCATTCTTCTGCAGATTAATGTTTCCAGCGTAAAGGAAGCTTTGGGCTACTTCATGATTTTTCTGGAGATAGGCCTTGAAAAGGAGTTCTTGCCACACTATTTTTACGGTAATTCAAATATCGCTGATATGTTTTCAATGCTCTCACCAAAGATCGGCAGTAAACGTCTCAATCTGCTGAAACATATCCCAGGAGACCATTTTGTACAGGCTCGGCTTTCTCTAGGACGGATGCAAACTGACTTGCGCCCACTTTACGCCGAAAGCTTTGAACTTTGTAACCGTACGAAGATAGATTCTTTCAGAGAACTCTGCTCTCTGTATGATGAAAGCGGTAAATGCATTTTGATGTAAAAATCTACAGAATACACTGACCAATAATTCATGGAACACTTGTAAAATTTAGAACATTGGTGTTATATGCAAGCTTATATGGATTTTTTTTGCCCGCTTCATTAGAACAATAACATTTAGAGTAGTATTGTACATGTCAAAGACTGCAATTCACAACTACACGCTGGTCTGGTGGGGAGAGCATACAATATTACTTGGCCGGAAATTTGGACCGCCTCCATTTCGCTTGCGTATTATAAGTCATGCTAATCGGAATGCATGGACAACAATTTGGCATAGAGCATGGGTGTCTCTCACGCTTGTTCTAGCATTTATATTTCTTCCTACTGTCCACTTTAACATTAAGTATTTTAATGGCTAATAAATCATGTAACCAATTAGTTTGTTGTCGTTCGTTTTTTCTAAGTTAATGAATATGAGAACATTATTACGCAGAAAAATGTGAATTCGAATAATGAATTTATGTATTCATAAACAAAATGATATGTTACATTTGGTAACAAAGCTTCTCTAATTCATAATGACACAGTGAATCAGACAGTTGTTCAATCGGAATTGAAACTCATAGCCACAGCAAGGAAGTGAGGTACAAATCAAGTCCTGAAGTTACTGGCCGTGTGTGGCCATCATCTGCTTTGATGCCTCCACACATGGAACTGAAGACTGCCATCAACTTGAGAAGATACGACGTAACGCAGAAGTCTTTGACTCCTTTTGATTAAAATTGATATAAATATATTTTAGTGCACATAAGTAGCAGTAGGATTGGGCACAAGTTTTACAACTTATATAAAGCCCTTTCCAAACATATTAATACACACACAATATATTTAAAAGGTGGCAGTAGGATGTGATAGCAATGAAACAATCATAAACAAGTTTAGTGAGAGAGAGGAGGGTAGGGGGAGGAATTGTATAACACGAGATATATACTTTGTATATGTGTAGATCATGAATCTGTTCCTGCTTCATGCAAGCGACACAGGCGAAACACTGTCCGCATGCCAAAACTCACAACTTGTCAATGTTCATCACTTCCCGTGCTTTGTATACTTTCTCCTTGTCACTCGTTGCTTTCATGTATATATCCGTCTCCATTTGTTCGCTTGCACAGAAAAAGAGCAGGTACACGGTACACATCTACAAATGCTTTTCCATAATAAAAAGTTATATTAATTTTAGACGTTATAAGGCATTTCATTCATAAATATATCAATGATATCATTTACAAATACTAATAATAAGATAAATGACTTCAGAAGAGTGAGGAAGAGCGGGATAGAGAAATTCAGAAATATTCTTGCTAGAATCTGTTCCATGGCTATATTGCTGAGTATGCAAAAGTATGGTTTGGTTTTCTTGTTCAGAAGGAGAAGTTTCCCCGAACAGGAGTAAATTCAAGTTTAAGGGTATATATTGATTTAGTTGACGAAACAACTATATTCGTTGGTCAATAAAATTATCATAGATAAAAAAAGAAATGATAGTTGTATTCAACAGGAGAGCCACATGTACAATGATCCTTGGAAGATAGATTTACTCGGAATAGATCACTTTCAAGAACACTAGCATTATTTCTTAACTTGGTTTGCAAGCTGTCAAGTAGCTTACTTGGTATCCCATAACTAGCCAATTTCATTTCCAGTCCCCTATGCCACACGCGATCGAATGCCTTAGAAAAGTCACAAAATACTAAACACATAGGTTAATTATTTTCAAGATTGACACATATATTATGATAAATTTCAACTAGCTGATGTACTGTGGCATGTCCTGGTTGAAAATCTGACTGAAATTTGTGAAAGAGTAAGTTCTCTAAAAGAAAGTTATGTAAAATTTTAGCAACTAGCCTTTCAAAACCTTTACCAACAGTACTTAGTAGAGCGATAGGCCTGTAATTTGCAGGATTATTGCCTCCAAGTTGTCGCTTTCAACTAAACACTAATTTTTTATTTATCCTGTTTCCGAATCTGCAAATGATTTTATATTTTTTGTCACGTGGTGAGGAAATTCAACATGGTTTATCTATTACTCTTATTGTTGATAATATTAACATAGTTGCATTTTCGAATCACATTTTGCTTTAGTTTGTTTCCAGAATGTGTGACAAATACATGGTACAACTATTTTGATATCACATCCTTTAACAGCCCTCCACCTGATAGCAGCCCTCGATGTTTGAATTACACTGTATCTGTCGTTAATCAGGTCACAGAGTATCATATACATATATATTTAGGGTGTGATTTTAAATATAATAATCCTATTTATTGTTTATACATTGTTACTTTCACATTGTTGTAAACAGTGAATAAAAATGAGTCAAAATATAACTGAAAGATGTCTCAAATACAGCATACGCTAAGTACTTTTCAGCTTCCATATATGATGTCGTGCTGTGATTTGGACAGCCCCTGCCTAAAATTCTAGGTATATTTAAGAAATATTGATGGTGATGATTCCCGTAAAACTATCAAATATAATCCAAATACCTAGTCACAATACTAGTAAAATCTACTGCTACACCTTGTTATTATACTCAACAAATATTGCGCTCGAGTGCTCCTTTGAGGCAAAATAAATTTTATCGGAGTGTGTGTGTAGGGGTGAAGGGTAGGAGGGAGCCTATAGTGTTACCATTAAAATGAAAGTGAAAGAGAATATCAATGTTTTCCAAGTAATACGGTAGGTGTACCCACACTGCAATGTTATATATTTCTTATTGGTGAGTGACACGTCATGCACATAGCAGATAAGACAAGTTAGTGATTTATTAAAGTATTTTTCATACAGATACATATTAACATTTTGCAAATGCATTTTATTATATATTTCTATATCAATGAATGCTGCGCCAGTGGTTTAATTATCGATAAAAGCATCTTGACATAGAAGTCCTTTTAATTGTATATTTAATACCAAATTGATCACTTTGAATGGATTACTTACACAAAATCATACAGGGACTTCATGTCATCCTTGTTATTTGTGTCCTCCTAACATTGAACTGAATGGGGGTTAATTTGATATCTGAAGTTACGCATTGATCTTTTCAAACCCTAATTTTAACTAAAATGATACTTCACACACTCACGTAAATTTCTATGTCTGCTTACACTTTATAAAACAAATCCTACCAAGGAAGAAATGGTCGTATTACGTATGGCATTAGCATGAAAAGTGTGTTGAACAGGTTGTATTGATCAATTACCTACGTGTTTTTATTATTACGTGACAAGTAAGTCAGTTTAACCATTGTTTTTCCGTTTCTCATGATACATATAAAGGAACAAAAAGCACTGATGATATATATATAAGTGACCTAAGAGCACCGATGATAGATATAAGTGAACTAAGAGCACTGATGTTAAAAATAAGTGAACTAAGAGCATTGATGTTAAATATAAGTGAACTTAGGGCACTGATGATAGATATACGTGAACTAAGAGCACTGATGATAGATATAAGTGAATTTAGAGCGCTGATGATAGATATAAGTGAACTAAGAGCACTGATGATAGACTTAAGTGAACTAAGAGCACTGATGATAGATATAAGTGAACTAAGAGCACTGATGATAGATATAAGTGATCTAAGAGCACTGTTGATAGATATAAGTGAACTAAGAGCACTGATGATAGATATAAGTGAATTTAGAGCGCTGATGATAGATATAAGTGAACTAAGAGCACTGATGATAGATTTAAGTGAATTTAGAGCACTGATGATAGATATAAGTGAACTAAGAGCACTGATGATAGACTTAAGTGAACTAAGAGCACTGATGATAGATATAAGTGAACTAAGAGCACTGATGTTAAACATAAGTGAACTTAGAGCACTGATGATAGATATAAGTGAACTAAGAGCACTGATGATAGATATAAGTGAACTAAGAGCACTGATGATAGATTTAAGTGAATTTAGAGCACTGATGATAGATATAAGTGAACTAAGAGCACTGATGATAGATTTAAGTGAACTTAGGGCACTGATGATAGATATAAGTGAACTAAGAGCACTGACGATAGATATAAGTGAACTAAGAGCGTGATGATAGATATAAGTGAACTAAGAGCAGTTATGATAGATATAAGTGAACTAAGAGCACTGATGATAGATATAAGTGAACTAAGAGCGTGATGATAGATATAAGTGAACTAAGAGCACTGATGATAGATATAAGTGAACTTAGGGCACTGATGATAGATATAAGTGAATTTAGAGCACTGATGATAGATATAAGTGAACTTAGAGCACTGATGATAGATATAAGTGAACTAAGAGCACTGATGATAGATATAAGTGAACTAAGAGCACTGATGATAGATATAAGTGAACTAAGAGCACTGATGATAGATATAAGTGAACTAAGAGCACTGATGATAGATATACGTGAACTAAGAGCACTGATGATAGATATAAGTGAACTAAGAGCACTGATGTTAAATATAAGTGAACTTAGAGCACTGATGATAGATATAAGTGAACTAAGAGCACTGATGATAGATATAAGTGAACTAAGAGCACTGATGATAGATATAAGTGAACTAAGAGCACTGAGGATAGATATAAGTGAACTAAGAGCACTGATGATCGATATAAGTGAAATAAGAGCACTGATGTTAAACATAAGTGAACTTATAGCACTGATGTTAAATATAAGTGAACTTAGAGCACTGATGATAGATATAAGTGCATTTAGAGCGCTGATGATATATATAAGTGAACTAAGAGCACTGATGATAGATTTAAGTGAATTTAGAGCACTGATGATAGATATAAGTGAACTAAGAGCACTGATGATAGATATAAGTGAACTAAGAGCACTGATGATAGATATAAGTGAACTAAGAGCACTGACGATAGATATAAGTGAACTAAGAGCGTGATGATAGATATAAGTGAACTAAGAGCAGTTATGATAGATATAAGTGAACTAAGAGCACTGATGATAGATATAAGTGAACTAAGAGCGTGATGATAGATATAAGTGAACTAAGAGCACTGA